CCTACAAAAAAAAAAAAAAAAGGCCTGAGACACCGTCCTGCTCACAGCACTCATTCTAGGGATGAGAAAAGTGAGGCTTGGTGAGGGGAGTCACAGGGTATGCGGGGGCAGGTCCAGCACCTCCTCCGCCCCTGGCTCCACAGGGCCTCTCTTGACCTTTGGGGAATGATTTAGAATGATGACTGATGCTGGCTTCTGAAAGCGTCATTCCTCCTTCCTCATTTCTGTCTCTGCCTAGACTGATGGGCCAGCCGAACTGCCATTTTCCAACCTTTGCCCGTGACCCCCATTTACAAGCACGTCTTACTGTTCGGCCCTGCAGATACACACACGTCCCCACAGCTGAGACCCTCGCTACCTGATGTCATCTTGTGTGCTCTGCCATGTTCTATTTTATCCTACAGGAGCCCCCCTTATCTACTGAGGACACGCTCCAAGCCCCCCAGTAGATGCCTGAAACCACAGCTAGTGTTGAACCCTATGTATGCCTTACACACATTTATTTTTCCTTCATTACAATTTCATGGACAAAAGATTCATTCTTACTGTAGATCTGGGCAACCTCAGCGTCCAACTTGCTTTCTTTGTCAGTTGAGAGCTTTCACCCTTCCTTCACTTCGAGCACTTTACAGCTTCTCTTTGTCCTGTCTGAATTGTCAGCATCAGTACTTTTGCTCTTTGGGGCCATGATGAAGTCAGATAAGGGCGACTTGAGCACAAGCACTGTGTGTGGTCACGTCCTGGGCAGGACTGGACGGGACGTAGTAAGATTTTATCACACTAGTCAGAATGGCACACAATTTAAAACTGTTTCTAGAATTTTCCATTTAATATTTTCAGACTGCAGTTGACCACAGGTAACTGAAACCACAGTGGATAAGGGGAGACACCTGTATTTAATAGTAAAAGAAAGTCTCAGCCCCCTGTATTGGGTTCAGGACTCATAGTGGTTTGAGATTCATGGTTTGATATTCATGGTTTGAAAGACACTGCTGTGTTACATCCATCTTTCCAGCCTCTTCCATAGTACACCATTTCATTAGTTCTTTCCTCAAACTTGCCATGGCCTCTGTCTCTCTCTCTCTCTCTTTTTTTTTTTTTGCATTAGAGTCTCATTCTGTTGCTCAGGCTACAGTGCAGTGGCACAATCACGGCCACCCCAGCCTCAACCTGCTGGGCTCAGGCCATCCTTCCACCTCAGACTTCCAAGTAGCCATAACTACAGGCATGCATCACCACACCTGGCTAATTTTTTGACTTATTGTAGAGATGAGGTCTCCAACCTGTGGGCAATCCTTTTACCTTGGCCTCCCAAAGTGCTGGGATTATAGACGTGAGCCACTGTGTTCTGCCTGGCCTCTCTCTTTTTTAAGAGATAGGGTCCTAGCCGGGCTTGGTGGCTCAGTCTGTAATCCCGTGATTTGGGAGGCTGAGGTGAGTGGATTGCCTGAGCCCGTGGGTTCGTGACCCGCCCGGGCAACTTGGCGAGACCTCATCTCTACAATGAATCAAAAAATTAGCCAGGCGTGGTCGCGTGCGCCTGTAGTTCCAGCTACTTAGAAGGCTGAGGCGAGAAAGATCGCCAGGGCCCAGCAGGTCGAGGCTGCGGTGGCCGGGAATGGCCACTGCACTCCAGTCTGGGTGACAGAGTGAGACTCCAACTCAAAAAAAAAGAAAAGAGATAGAGTCTTACTCTGTCAAGCAATTTTCCCACTTCAGCCTCCTCAGCACATATAGCTGCAGGTATTTACTACCACGCCTGGCAGTTTTACAGTTTTTTGCAGAGACGAGTCTTGCTATGTTGCCCAGGCTGGTCTCAAGTGATCCTCCTGCCTTGACCTCCCAAAGTGTTGGGACTGTAGGCACGAGCCACCATGCCAAGCTGCCATGGCTGCTCTTGATCCTAACCCATTCTGGGCTGTTCTTCCTGCAGTGTTCATTCTATTTTTATACTGGCAGCCCTTGCTCCTCTTCATCCTTCAGCCTCGGCCTCAATTCCTTTCTCAGGGAGACTGTCTCTCCCCCTTGCCATAAACTCCAATGGCCCCTGTTTCCCATTAGAAAGCTCACTGAGGGGAGAGACTCGGGTGACTTACTCTCTGCTGTATTCCAGAACTGTCTGTAGAATTGAGCTGCAGGGAATGCCTTTCCCCCCCTTCCAGATGCCCAGGATGTCCTGTGCAACCTCCTCTTCCTTCCGTCTTTCCGTCCCTCACCTTCCTAGTTCTTGGCCCAGCTGAAGATTATGGACTACAGCCTGCTGGTGGGCATCCATGATGTGGACCGGGCAGAGCAGGAGGAGATGGAGGTGGAGGAGCGAGTGGAGGACGAGGAGTGTGAGAATGATGGCGTGGGTGGCAGCCTGCTCTGCTCCTATGGCACGCCTCCAGACAGCCCCGGCAACCTCCTCAGCTTCCCTCGGTTCTTCGGGCCTGGGGAGTTCGACCCCTCTGTGGACGTCTATGCCATGAAGAGCCATGAGAGTAAGTGGGGCCTGCCCTGCCCTGCCCAGTCGTGCCCATCTCCCCCTTCCGGCCCATGGTTCAGAGGCTCCCAGGAAGTCTGCACCTCCACCTCTTCGCTGTCGACCTTGGCCTCTTTCCGCCTCTGGACTCCTGCATGGGTCCCCACCAGCAACGGGCTCTGGGCTTCCTTCTCCACCAGGCCTTCCTGCCCTCACTTCTTGTGCTGCCTGAGTGAGGCATGGTTCTGCTCTGGCTCTTGGGGTGGAGCAATCTGTGTATCGGCGCCGCAAGTGAGGTCAAGTGAGACGGGAACTCTGAACGTTCTGAGGAGGACCCTGCCGGTCCTTTTCAGCCTCAGAATTCGAGGGATGGGTCTGAGTCTCCTCTCTGTAGGGCTGTGGGTGTGCCCTAGCTGCTTTCTGCTTCCCCTCCCCCTTCAGGCGCCCCCAAGAAGGAGGTCTATTTCATGGCCATCATCGACATCCTCACACCGTATGATGCTAAGAAGAAAGCTGCACATGCCGCCAAGACGGTGAAACACGGGGTGAGTCCTCTGTCCTGTCCTGGGCCCAGAGGGGTGAATGGGCCTGCACTCGCCCTCAGATCCCAGGAGGGTGGACTCAAGCCCCTGCTCTAAGGAAACACTCTCCTGCCCTCCTTCCCAGGGCAGCCTGCCCGCTTGCCTGGTGTTCCCTGCCATCTACATCTGCCCCTCCCTGCCAGGCCAGGCCACGGGCCCAGCTTGCTTTCCCCTGGTTCTCTGGCCCTCAGGCCCTGAGCCCTCCTGTGCCTTTCCCCTGGGGCCGTCGGGCATGCTGCTCATCTTGCCCAGCGTCCAGTAACAGCTCTGTTGACACGCCCACACCACTCCCCCGGGCCCAGGCTTGAGGTGCCCAGAGACTCTCAAGTACCTGGGCTTCTCCCAGGTGCAGCCTCCTGGTGGGGGCCGAAGAACCGGGCCTGAGTCGGCCTCTTGTGTCTTGCAGGCAGGGGCTGAGATCTCGACTGTGAACCCCGAGCAGTACTCAAAACGCTTCAACGAGTTTATGTCCAACATCCTGACGTAGCTCTCTCCTGCCTTCAGCCCGAGCCAGAGCGCTGGACCCGGGGCCGGGGTGGGGAGAGGGAGAAGGGCAGACGTGGGCTTGGTGGGAGGGTGGGCGCGGGTGGGGGGCGTCGGGAGGACTTCAGCAGTGGGACTGCGGCCTGTGACCTGAAGGAGACTAGCTGGGGGGCCGTGCTGTGTGTGACGTGCTCACAGGATGGGACCTCGCCTTCTGTCTACCCTTGGTTTTTTTCCCCTATTTGACCCAGGTTAAAAGGGTTCCCTTTCAGTACCCTGTGACCTGCGATGATACCCTGGGGCTGGAGATGACGTTGTGGGTTACTTGGGTTTTGTCATCGCTCCAGGTTTGCTGTTTTGATCATGTGTGTCCGCCCCCTGTCCACCCTGCCCACACGCCCAGCTCTCACTTCCCTTGCATTCAAGAGACACCTAGACCGACCGGCACAGGGGCCTCCTGGAGCGAAGGCCCTGGCGCCCAAGAGGAGGTAACGCCTCCGCCCTGCCACGTTTGATCTTGTCTAGATTGACTTTGTAATGTGATGGAGTGCTGTGCACAGCTCCTTCCACTCCTCTACCTGGGATCCAAGTGACACGTCATGTTGTCCTCCATTCTGTCCTCCCTGAGGAGCACTCCAGGACCACAGCAGGTGTCTGGGATCAGAACTGGACCTCAGAGAGGAGTGAGCTCATTCTCATGGGATGGTGTGGGGTGGGGAGCTGCTGGGCCTTTGGATGGCGGGTTCTCAGAGACCCCACAACCACCCGGGCCCTTGCATTCTTGACCCTGGAGTTGAGAAGTCCCCTCTTCAAAGCCTGCCTCCCATGGGGTCAGGAGGAGCCAGAAGGAACCTTTGGATCTGGCAGGCCCGTGTTCAAGTGGCTATCTCCCTTTGGGAGAACCCCGGCACCCGATGAGTGTCACTTGGGGTCTGTGTCCTCTACCTGCTTCTTCCGGCCCCCGCCAGGCACCCTCACTTCCAGCCGCGGGTGTAGCTGGAGCAGATCTCCAAGCACGGGGTGCCCTTTGCAGAGATTCCTCTTCAAGCCCCAGGACTACCATGGAGGTCACTGGCTCCCTGTGCCTGTGGTTTGTCACCTGGACAGTAACAGCCAGGAAGATGCCCTGCGCCTTGGAGTGTGGCGCCCACACCTGGTTGCTTCTGAGTCACTTGGGGGTATGACCGGGAAGTCCGCTGTGGAGGTTGACGTGGTCTGTGACCTGGCCCAGCCTTGGCGGTCTCTCCCCGTTGGCCTCTCAAGACTTCTGGCAGGTCTGCGGCCATGGACTTCCCTGGAGGGAGTGGCCTCCTGCAGCTTCCTTCAGGGCTTTCACCCACCTTCAAAGCCTGCTGCCCAGACCCTGAGAGCTGAGCCCCACATGTCGTTCTGACGCCATTGGAGCAGGTTGGTCGGCCAGGAGAAAAAGCGTCCCCAACTGCTCTGCATTGCAGGGGTACATTCCAGCACCTTCTCAACCCTCGCCAGGAAGTGGGGCTTTGGGGTGAGCTATGGCAAAACTTGTCGATAACCCCAAGACGTGAAGCTCCGTGGCATGGTTCTGAACGAGCGGGTTGGCTTCCTGTGGCTCCTACAAGCCTGGCCAGGCTCAGCTCTGGAGCAGGAACCTCACTCTCTGGGCCCTGCCCACAGCACAAAGGTCAGGAGGAAATGGAGGTGGCATTCTTGGACTTCCCTGGGGCTGCTGGGCCGGGGGCACCCTCCTGGAAGAGGCAGTTGGGGGTGAAACCACTGCCCTGGCCCCAGGAAGGGCCATAGGTAGGGCTGAACAACAGGCAAGACCAAGAAGTGACATGGGGAAATGGGAACCAAACGGCTCATGGAGAAAGCAGACGGGACTTGGGAGAGGGATGATGTGGGACGACGCCTGATGTGAGTCCCCACCGTGGAATCAAGATGGAAGTCTCTCGGCCAGGCCCCAGGCCTCAAGCTCAGAGGCTGCTTCCCCACAGCCCGCAGCTGGGCTCCCCACTGGTCTGCGGATCATGTTGCCATAACGTGTATGACAAGTGTAACAACCTTCTCAGTTAAAGACACTACCAGGTATCTAACTTGTTTAACATCGAGTGTGTGTGTGCGCGCGAGTGTTTTATATATTGTTTACATTTTGAGAGGTAGCATTCTGTTTCAATTGCTTTTTTTTCTGACAGTATTGTTGACTGGGTCACAACATTTTGAGCTGTGGTTTGGTGGATTTTAGATTTTTTTTTTCCTTAGGGTTTTTTTTTAGGGTCATTTTCTGTTCAATCTTCAAAATTTAAGGTTTGGCCCGCTGATTCCTTTGGCGTTCAAAAGCTGTTTGTCTTGGTTTATACACATTTTCTTTCTCTTCTTTTTGTAATGATGGAGATCCTGTTTGGTCTGCAGTCTGAATGTGGAGAATGTGAACTGACGCCCAAGCTTTGCCCCCTCCCTTCCCTCCCGAATCCTGCCATTTCTCTGGACAGTAGGAGGCATATGAGGGGGAGTGACTGCCCTCAGCCTCTCTCCTGGGGCTATGAAGAAAAGCTCCACAGGGTCTTCCAGGAACAAAGGCATAAGAATACCACTGGGTCTGTCCGCAGCACAAGCTCCTTCCCTGTGCCCTGGGGGCTGCGGAACCTGGAGCCAGCAGCTCGGAGCAGACTTGCAGTGCTCTGAGCCCTTCTCTAGCTCAGGGGTTGCTGGTCTGTGGCTGTTCTCGCGGCACCCTCTCCTTTCCCAGACAGGCAGCTCCCCCCACCTCATCTCCTGGTAGCAAGTGCTCAGGGCATGAGCCTGGCTGCCTGCCCTTCTTTCTCCTGGTCGCAGTCTGCCGGGTCTGCCCAGGAAGCGGCCCAGACACACGGCTTTCCTCAGAGCCCGTCCCGCCCCCTCGGCAGCACCTGAGCTCCGCAGGCGTCCAGAGTCAGAGGGAACAGTGCTGAAACAGCCCTCAGAACTCTGGCCTGGGGTTCCCCCGAGTCCAGCAGCCTCACCTTTTGCTGGCAGTCGTGTGGGCCTGGGGTCCTCCAAGTGAAAACACAGACAACTGTCCCCAAGTCTGCCAGCCATGTGCAGGAGCAGAGATGTGACCATGCCCCATCTAGACATGGCACTTGTGAGAGCCCCAAGGGAAGAGGGGATGCAGCTGTCCCTCAGCAGGTTGCAACCAGGGAGGAGCCTCACATGGGAGCCCTGCCCATTCTCAGCCATTTTGCATAGAGGTGGGAGCTGACAACCGAGTGCTCAGCACACCCACCTGCCAGGTCAGGTCATAAAATATGAGGGCGAACGCTGGGCTCCCCTGGGGGAAGGATGAGCCACCACCACGTCGCGTGTGACTCGGTAGCCCGCTGCAACTTCCATTTTTTAAATAGGAATTTTCAACCTTGTGCTTGTCTGATGTCTGCTTTCAACAGTTCGAGACCCTGTTCCTGTTTTAAAATGCATGCGTGTTACAATGAATCTCCAACCCGAGGACAAAATAAAACAAGCTTTGTGTACATCTGTCGTGCTCGAGACCTTTGGGAATGAGCCTTTTCTTTTACTCCCAAAATTAAAAGGTTCTCACCCCAGTTTTAGAGGCAGCTTGGGCTAAATCCACATGTGGCTGAGTGTGAAGTATGTGGCCAGTGACCCTCACTGTCCAATGCAGCAAGCAAATAGTGGCCAGAGCAGCGCCGGTGCCCGCCTGTTGGCTGTCACTGCCGTGCACTTGGGGACACCTGCCCTCCTGTCCCAGCTCTCCCCACTGGCCACGAGGCCGATTTGGAACATGTCACCAGTGTCCCTCACCTTCTCTGTCTGGACACTTAGCTTACAGCCAAGTGGTCCTCCTGGTGTGGCCTGGCCCAGCAGCAGTACCTGGGAGTCAGGCGTGCACGCACTCAGGCCCAGGGCCAGGGAGCCACAAATTGCTTAAGCAGGCCCTGCAGGTGACCCTGGTCTGGCTGATGCTTGGGAGCCACTCCACCACCCAGCGTTGCGCTGGCTGACTAACAGGGTGTCGATCCCTAGGCTGCAGGCTGGCTCCTTGGAGGGTTCAGAAGGCAGAGGCCCAGGCCAGGCCCCTAAGTGATCAATTAAACCAGAATCTGGAGGGCTGGGATCCAAGAATCAGAGTGAGAAGCTCCCAGGTGAACATGTAGGCTGGGTTAAAAAGTAAAAAGCCCTGATGTCCAGCTCCTGGGTGCCTGGCCACATTTCTGCCCCAAGCAATGAAGGAGACTAAGGGCTTTCCAGTAGTTTAGCACAAAAACTTCTAGGCTTTGGGCTCTGTGGAACATGGCCTCGCTACGGCTTGCTAGAGTGGAAAGGGATTTACCAGCCCTCATCACTCAACAGGTGCTCGAGTCACGATGAGTGGTTTCTAGAACGTGTGAGGCACTTGTGCCCTCCGAGTGCTGTGGAGATAATGCCCGCTGGTGTGCCCGTGGAGACCGTGCCAGTCAAGAAGCAGAGGGCTGAGCCAAGTCCCGTGTGGCTGGCTGTTCCTGCCCCACCGGGACAGTCTGGTGGGGAGCACCAAAGACAAAGAAGTGGGAATGAAAGAAAGGCTCATTTATTTAAAAAACAAACAAAAAAGCGGTGGGCTCAGGGAGAGGGTTAGTCCATCCGGGCCTTCAGCGTCCTGGTGGTGATTTTGTCCTTCTCGCTGCAGAGGAAGAAAGTCCCAAGGAAACCTCTAGAGCCATCTCCACGGGCCCTTCTCTCCCAGCCCCGAGCTCCCGGCCCAAGTCCTGGCAGGGGAGGGCACACACGGCTGCCCTGCCGACTCGGGCAGCTGTTCTGTCCCCGCCATGCCAGCGTCCACATGTCCCTCGGCCATGGTGAGGAAAGGGAGGGGTGAGCACAGAGAGCTGGGGACACTTCACCCAAGTGGAGCCCCGAGGGACTTCCCCAGAAAATGATTCCGTGTGGGATGGAGGTTCTCCAGACAAGAGAGTTGTTCCTGCAGGCCCGGGAACAAGTGACGTGGGATGGAGCAGGCGGCACATTCCACCCCATGGACACGAAAGAGCCCTGGGTGGCAACTGTGCTTTCATGGTGCTGGGTGGTCCCCAAGGGCCCAGGTGCTCACTCAGAAAGACGGAAGCAGTGGGGAGGCCACTACCCTCTCCAGGCAGGTTCCTGGAGGCTGCCCCAAACAGAGCAGAGAAGCTGGACAATGGTCCCCAGAGGGCAGTCGGTCCTGCGGCTCTGGGTTCCAGGCGGGGGAGTCGGGGCTGTGGGAAGGGGCGCTGCCTAGACTTTCCATCAGTCCAGTGGCAGCTGTGCTGTACCTCAGCCCCACTCAGGCCCCCGAGGCGCGGGGACGCTATCAAGGAAGATAAGAAGTATCTGTTGTGAGCTCAGGGAGACTCAGGGTTACGGAGCCTCCCTGAAGGAGGCCAGGGACTCACACCTGACCAGAGGCCGGGGCGCGAGATCATGGGGAGAGGCTCCCCCCAGCTCCTACTCACATGATGTGGACGATGACCCCCATGCCTGACACCGCGTCCCGGTCCACAGCGTTCAGCATGGCCTGGGAGATGGTTTCAAACAGGTGTTCCGGATCCTGCCAACACAGCAGACCCCTCTCAAGGCCCCACCTCGGCCTGGCCCTTGAACTCTTCTCTAGGCTTGAGGTTCCTGCTCCGGCCCCTGCTACGCCTGAAGGAGGGGACAGCTCCCTGGGTGTGGGAAGCCGCTCAGCCCATTCCTGGGGAGGAGGCTGGATTGAAAGGAAAGCGCGGAGACGCCAAGCCTCAACTCCTGCCGCCAACCAGAGCGTGACCTGGGCAGGTCACACGTCGCTCCCCTGTGCCAGCACCGCTCTTCTGTAAAACGGAAGATTCCCTGCCTGGCCTGATGTGTTTTCTCAGCTGCCTGAGGGGAGCCCCTGCCCAGTGGCTAGCGGGCACATCGAAACCCAGCGCCTGCCACAAGCCGGCTCCCATCTAATTCCCTCTGCCACACTCCAGGTCTTTGCTAGCGTGGCCGGAACTCAGCCATCCTCGCATCTCCCCCTCCTTTCCTGCTGTTCTAAGTGTCCAAATCCTCCTGACAGGTGGCCCTGCCCACACCCATGATCTGTGCTCAGGACCCAGGCGCCTCCTGCAGGCCAGACGAGCAGGTCACATCCACCCAAGGCCTGCAACGCCTCAGGCTCCTTCCTGTGCCGTTTGAGGCCCTTTGAAGTTTGAGGCCCTTTGAAGTCGCTTGCCAGTCTCAATCTCCAGAAGCATCTCACCCTGCTTTTCACCACACTCCAGCCCCTCCCGGCTCTCTAGTGGGGACACACCTGGCCCTTCCTTTGCACAGGCTGTTCCTTCTGCCCCCAGGCCCTTTCTTTCCTCCTCCACCCCAGGGCACTAAGCAAGTGTGTGGGTGTCTGTCTTGCTTCCCTCCACTGCTGTGAGCCCATGAAGGTAGACAGCACCTGGTTTCCCCCAAGCTGACCCCACGGCGAATGCTACTCTCACCCCTTCTCATGTGCTCTCCTCAGCACCCCTTCTAAGGCAGATGCTGTCATGATCCCCATCTTACAGTGGAGGTCCCAGAGGCAGAGAGGTCAAGTGACTCATCCAGGGACACTCAGGTGGTGGGTCCAGATTTCCAACCTACACAACCCGCTCCAGAGCCCATTCTGTTTAGCAGCCTGACCCTACATCTTGGTAAATGTTCAACGAAAGGAAGGGGGAGCCCGTGAACCCCGTGTAAGGAAACATCTGACGGGGTCTCCTGACGGGAGCTGCTCTCCTCTGGAGTCTCTGGCCGGCCTTCGGAGCACAGCGGCCGGGACCTTTTCTCCGTCCGCACCATCCTCCGTTACCTGCCACGTAAGCACTGCTTCCTGGTGGCCCGGGGCAGGCCCCTCCCAGCCCAGGCCTCCTGCCCCCCACTCACCATGTCGGGCTCCCAGAGGGACTCGCACATCCCGTACATCTGCTCGGCGCAGGTGCCGCTGACCACAAAGTCGTCAGTCACCATGGGACAGCCGATGAGGTCTAGAGAGCAGATGAAGGGCTTAAAGGTCTTCGGGTCCAGCCCAGCGATCACAGGCTCCGTGTAGTAGGGGCCAAACCTGTGGGCCAGCACCAGAGAGAGACCAGAGCTCGAGGGCGCTCACGCGTGGGTTCCCTCCCTGTGGCCGGCTGCTCATTCCTCTTCGCCCTCCTGCCATCTGGCAACACTCTAGACTCTTTAGTTCCTTTTCTCTGACACTATCATGTCCTTCTCACCCGGACCCTCATCTTCCTTTCTTCCAAAGTCCTCCCACCATTCAGTCCTCTATTTGTTCATTAATATCTATACCCCTTTAGAAAAAAGATGGAGGGAAGTTGGAGGAAAAACACTGTAAAATAAAACTGAACCACCAAACAATATGACGGCTGGTATGGTGGCTCACACCTGTAATCTCAGCCATTTGAAAGGCTGGGACAGAAGATCACTTGAGGACAGAAGTTTGAGACCAACCTGAGCAACATAGCAAGACCCTGCCTCTAAAAAATAAAAAAAAATCAGCCATGCCTGTGGTGTGTGACTGTAGTCCCAGCTATTCAAGGAGGCTAAAGCAGGAGGATCACCTGAGGTCAGGAGATCAAGGAAGGCTGCGAAGAGCTATGATCGTGCCACTGCATTCAGCCTGGGTGACAGACCAAGATTCTGTCTCTAAAAAAAAAATAATAATTTTATTATTACAGGCATGAACCACCACGCCTGGCCTCAGGTGATCCTTCTACTTCAGCCTTCCAAACCGCTGGAACTACAGATATGCGCCACCATGTCTGGCTTTTTTTTTTTTTTTTTAATTTACCGTAGAGACGAGGTCTCGCCAGGTTGGCTAGGCTGGTCTTGAACCCCTGGGCTCAGGCAAATTCTCTTGCCTCAGCCTCCCAAAGTGCTGGGATTATAGTTGCGAGCCCACGGTACCCAGCTAA